TAAGAACGGGTCTCAGGTCTGAAACACTTCTTTACCAAGAGATAGAGCCCTCGCAGTCTGGGCGGGGCTCACCTCCTTGTGAGCGAATGTACTTCTTGTTCTGCTTAAGCGCAGGTGTCCACGGCCCTCAGGCTGCCCAGCTTGCCGTATTTCAGACCCCACAGGGAGGGACAGGGAGCTTCCACTGCAGCAAGAAGTGAGGTGCTTGCAGCAACAGTGCGTGGTGGGGGGGGTATGGGGGCGGGGGGCGGTGAGCAGATCTGCATGCCCAGGGGGACTGCCACAGAGCAAGGGACTGGATCTTGTTCCCTTTCCTCTGTTATAAGTAAGCGCTACAGCCCTTGAGGCTGGTATGCGTGCTGTCTGTTCTCAGCAACCTTGAATCCCTCACAGGTTTCTTCTTTGGGTGGCATTTACCTGTCTTTTCACTTTGGCCGGATTCACGTAATATCCTATCCTGCAGCATAGCCAGACCACCCAGTGGTCACAAGAAAATTAGAAATTAGAAATTCTGGAAACACAAGAAAATTTAGAAATTGTACCAAATGAAATACCAACTTTACAAGCTTCAGGTGATGATAATTACCCCAATTTGGATAGTGGGTAATTTTTCAGAATACTGTCATATATATAAGCATACTAGATATCCTTTCTGTGATGTGCAAATTGGCCAATAGACTGGCTTCAAAAAGAGATGAAATGACATAGATAATATCAGTTCTAATGCTGCCAAGAGACTCTAGGATGATCAGAAAGAGAGAGGGAATTACTGGAAAACAATTACAGCACAAAGCACTGGGACTCTAACCCTAGTTCCTGGTTAATGAGCCATATGTGCCCATTTAAAAAATATACCCCCCACCCCAGATAGTGGGGGGACCAGAATCTGAACTCTGGAAGCCCAACACCAAAGCCAGCTCTAAGGATTTCCAAACTAGACCGCCTCTACTGACAAGCGGTACAAACGTGTTCAAAGAACCTGTTTGGTTTTTCTTTTTTTTAAATCAAGCCACAGGTAAATGCTTGGGGTTTTTGGTCAGTCTGAAAAGTATCTTGAGAAACTGGAGTCCTGAACAGTCTTTATTTTTCCATGGATTGACACAGATGAGCAAGGAGAACTTGCTAGCATCCTGAAGTCTTAGCTGAAGGAGACAGAATACAGATGCTTTGTAGCTGCCTATGTTCAGAATAAACTCACTGTAAGTGCTCTGCAAGCTTGAGAAGGTACTGTGATTTTCCATGAGTAATTCAATCAAGATATAGACACAGATTATCCAATAAATTGTTATTAAGCAACCGGTAACAACGTGGGTAGAGTTTTTCCCATCAGCCAGTTTACTATCACTGTGAGGGTCTCCACTAGAACCTCACGAAAAGCACTTTATACCAAGAAACAGGATTCAGCATACAGTAAGCCTTCTCTGGGCTCAAAGTAGGTTTAGTACTAAAACAATTTTATTCTAAGACATTTTCCCTTATAAGGTATTGCTGTGGGCATTGGGGGTTTGTCCCCCCAAAAGATAAGCTGAAGTCTAAAACCCCAGCATCTCAGAATGTGACCTTTATTTGGAACTAGGGTTGTTGCAGATACAATTAGCTAAGCTGAGGTCCTACTGGAGTAGGGCGGGCCCTGATCCGATATGATTAGTGTCCTTACCAGAAGAGAAGAGAGAGACAGACACACGGGGGAAGCGGGTGGTAAGGGGCAGAGGCTGGAGTGAGGTGGCTGCAAGCCAAGGAGCCCCAAGATGGCCAGCCGGGCACCAGAAGCAGGGAGAGGAAGAAAGGGTTCTCCCCTATATCTCGGGGGGGGGGAGGGGGGCCTGCTGACACCTTGCTCTCAGACTTGTAGCCTCCAGAACTAGGAGAGAACAAACATTTCTGCGGTTTTATGCGACCAAGTTTGCAGTACTTTGTGACAGCAACCCTAGGAAATTCATACAGGTACCCTATGTGACATAGAGCCTCAGAATAGTATTATAATAAGGTTCCAGAATAGAACACCACTGATGCTGTTATTTTTTTTTAAATTATATAGTAAAACCTGGGCTGAAACTGTCTATTATACCTAAGAGAAAATACTTACTTTTCTAGTCAAAGAAAGTAGTATGGCATCCATGAAAATTCGAAAACCTACATGTTCACCATGAGTCTTGATATAAACCTAAGAGAATTGAACATTTATTAAGTTAACCTAGAAATGGTTTATTTCCCATCACCCTTATTTCCATTGTGTTTATTATGTTAATCTAAAAGTACTGGCAGATTTCATTGAGGTAAAGCTTATCACAATGATCCTCAGAATGATTTTTTTTTTTAAGATTTTATTTTTAAGTAATCCCCACACCCAACCTGGGGCTTGAACCCACACCCTGAGATCAAGAGTCGCAGGCTCCACCAACTGAGCCAGCCAAGCATTCCACAGAATGATTTTTAATAAAACTCTGTAGCTACTTACTGCCAAATGGTCAAAACAAATAAAAAATCACCAAGGCAAACAAGCAAACCTTAATCACAAATCATACCTTGTTATCCTTCAAGGTATAATGACATAAGCTTTGTCTTTGTCCAAATCTTTTTGGGATTTCTTCTGCAATCTTTTCTGGATCAACAGCAGGGAAATGTGCCAGATCTCTCTGAATCTGAGTAATGGTTCCTGGGCAGTTCATCTCCTGTAACCAGGCTGCACTATCTTCCAAAGGACAGTCACAGTTTTCATGGTAAACCGGCCCTAATTACACACAAGTAACAAAATATCACAGTAATAATTTCACTCAGCATTCAAAACAGCTAAGAAATATCCATTACATGGCTTCATAAATACTGTTGTTTTTTTTTAAATTATGTTACAAATTACCTTTTAAAATATATGGAGATTTGGCAACATGTTGACCTTGGAATTTAACTTCTATCTTCAGATTTTTGTAGCTTGCATACATTCTGTATCTTACTATGAAGGACCCATCCTTTCGGTCTAAAACCTGGACTCCGACTCTAGTGAACTGCTCTTCCGGTGCCGAGATTTTAATTTGGAACACCTTTTCACCTGGAGAAGATGTGAATCTGTCATGGGAAGAACAACAAGACATAAAGATTATTTCAAGGCACAAATGCACAAAGATTATGCTCTTGTCTATTAGCCTTACTGTTTTCTTCCATACTCTCTCCCTAACATATATGCTTGCTGCTTCTCTCATATGCTTGTAGTATCAGAATGAATGTGATGGATCAGAGATTTAAAAAAAAAAAAAGCAGAGGATGACAAATGTCCACAATAACATAAACATTTCATTAGAAAATTACAAAGGAATATATAAAGACTACATATTTATGTAAACATAGGACCCACTTACGCATTCTATATATAAAAATATTCTTATCAATCTATTTCATGCACCTGGTAATTTGCCTCTAAAGATAATGACCTTTTGAAAAGTCTCTCTCAATGATTCTTTAAAAGAGCAGTATTATAAATCATGTTCAGCCACGGGCAAAAGCCAGTAGGTTGTGTATCATCTAAGTGACACTGTATAAAAAAAATTTTTTTTTTAATGTGAGTGCTCTCGCTATGAAGATTTTTAAGATGGTATTTAGTTCCCCCAATTGTTATAACCACGTGACAAAACTGATAACTTTTTTCTCCTTCTGCTTTGGAAAACTTCTTGGTAGTTTTTCTTAAAATACCCAAGATTTTTTTTTTTCCTACAAAATATACACAGTCAGCATCCACCAATAAAAAAAGACAATCACTTCGGGAGTATGTGAATTCTAAAACTAAGCTTTGAGTTATCATTTTAATTGCTGGAATTCAGTGGAATGAAATAATGTTCCTTACAAATGGTAGGAGATTCACACTTTGATACTTTCTGTATCAAATACTGTATCAAATTCTGTATCAGATACTTTCTGATAAGTTTCTGTAACTTTAAAGTTTCAAAGAGTGCTTCATTTTTCTTTCTGAGTTTCAAAACATGCTTACCTGCAGATGTCTCCCTGAAAACAGAAGGCAGCACCAGAGAAAGATGAACCAACCAAGTTTTTAACAACTGGGTTTACATTCCTTACAACAGCTTATGCCAAAGTAGGTGGAAAAGGTACTTCTAGCAAAGTCCAGGGGCTTTGTCTCTCCAGTCCTGTGTGAGTTCCTATCAAAACAGCCAGGAGAAGAGCTAATCCGGAATTACTTCTAAAACTACAGAGAATAAAATTGATTGCGACGGGGAAGACTGTTATAACCAGATGTGGATAGCATCCAAATATCGTGAAATTTAAACTGCTGTGGAAAAACGGGATCTTGGGCGGGAGAAACAGTACATTTTAACTGCATTCCAAAAGAGTTAGGGAGCCGTTTCTCGACTTACTTATTTCCTGATGTATCCACCGCCTGAATGTAGAAATAGCGTGCGGGAAGGACGACGGCTGCCTTCAGCCCGGGTCCCCATACTTCGCTCTTCTCTGGACTCAGTCGCCTGTCTCTGCCGGTCTCGGCGAGTGCCGGCACTGTCCCCCAAAAGAAGCAGTAAAGCAGCAAAATGCTAAACATTTACAAGACCGACTCTCAAATGATCCACGGATAAATGAAGTGTAAGAGGTGATCGGGACCAGCCGTGCCTTGGGCAGGGGCACGTTGGCCGATCACAGCAGCAAACACGACTCCAAAAGGTGTCCCTTGCTGTGCAGGGCAGGCGCGCGGGTCTCCACTTTTCCCCCAGAAAAATCACAGGCGGAGCGCTGGCTTGTCCAGCTGACGGATGCCAGTCGTTTTGCTCAAACGAGCAGGAACCACGCTACTCCTCTTTCGTAGGACAAAGATAAACAAATTTGTGTTGCTCCTGCAACTGGAGCATCATTGGGGGCGAATCGGTCTCAGGTTCCAGCCCAAGGTGCAGGGCGAGGGGATTGGCCTGCGTGTCGGCTGGGCTGAGTAAGGCCTTCTCCAAGTGGATGGCTCAGTGGCGTCCGTGCTCAAAGGCTTCCTGGGACTTGTAGTTCGCGACAGGACTAGCGGAAATCTTGCCAGGTTTTACCACCTCTCACTCATTTATTTACTTTGCGGTCACCGCTTTCAGGGAACAGTTATAAACTAGATGCCCAATAGAGTGGCGTGCGGGGACACAACTAAGATTTTTAAAAAATTGTCACCATATCCTCCGCACGTGCAGAGGGCAGCTATAAAACGATGAAAGGAAGGTGTTGTCAATGATATCCGGCAACCGGTCGCCGGACACAGCCGTCCAGGGAGCTGTCCCCACGCGCTCCGATGGGACGAGAGACGCCAGCCCCAGGGTAACCGGAGGCGCGTCGCGGGCCGCGCGCGGGAAGCTGTGATCCGAGTCCGGCGCCCGCTCTGCGGCGGCCGCAGCGACTCGACCCCGCCGGTCAGGCCAGAGGTATCCGGGGCTGTGGGCTGGGCGAAGGTGGCGGCCCGCTTCTGTGCGCCCAGCGCGCGGGGCCCTCTGCCTGGCACGCGAGCGCCGCGGGCCCGGCCAGCTGCCGCCCGCCGGCTCTGGACGCCGCCTATGCTGCCTGGGTGGCCAGGGGCCACGGCCTCTCGGGAGCCCCGGGGCCGTCCGAGGGGAGGCCGCTGCATCCGTGCCCGTCCTCCTCCGGGAAAAAGTGGGGTGAAGAGCTGGGCAGCAAGATGGGGGAAGTGTTAGGGAGACAAGGGACGAGTGCTCTCGGGAACAAAGCCTGACTTGGAGATGCCCGCGTGGATACCGGTGGCTCCTGCCCGGCGCGGGTCTCCACGCCACGCAAGGCCGGGCCTGGCCGGGAGTGTGCGGTGGTCGTCCCTTCTTCCGCGTATGCCGGCTGTGCGGCCAGGCGGTCACCAGGAGGGGTCACGGTCAGCTCCGGAATCGGACCCAGAGCCCCCTGCTCTCCCTCCCTCTTCCCTCTCTGGACCCTTGCCAGCTGCCCCGAAAACCCAGACGGGCCGGGTGGCTCCGCGGGCCAAAGCTGTCCTGGGTGGAGGCCCAGGCGGGGCTTTTCTGTTTTCCTTTTTTTTTTTTTTGTCTTGATGTCTTGAGTATTGATATCAACTGGTGCATTCAAAGCGCGAATCGGCTGCTCCCCCTTGGCGGGGGGGTTAGTAGACTGCCCGCGTCCCAGCGGCCCTGGAGCCTCGGGCGCCGGGAGCCTCCCCCGGCCCCAGGCTGGTTGGAGGCGCTCACTCCACCGGCCTCCGCCCGCTCCCTCTAGCGGCGAACTCTGGCTTCCGGCCGCGGAGGGAGGCGGACGGAGGGGCCCGGAGGCCTCGCTGCGGGGACGGGGACTAGGGGACGCCCGGCCCGGGGGAGCGCTCGTGGGTCTGGGAGGCCGCCGGAGAAGCGCAGGCAGAGAGCGCGGCCTCGCTCCTCCTGTCGGCCGGCGCCGCCTCCGCACACATCGGCTCGGCGCGGCGGGGACAGGCCTGCGAGACCGTCGCCTGGGTCCCGGCGGCTTCTGAGCCCGGCGGCGCCGCGGGCTTCGCGGAGTAGCGCGGCGGGAGCTCCGTTCGCCTGCCTCGGAGCCTGGGTGGGACGCTGCTGCGGCGCGCGGGAGGACCCGGTATCCTTCGTAGGCCGGCGGCCTCAGCCGGGGGAGGGGCTCGGGGCCGACCCCGCAGGGAGCCCGGAGCGCGTGGGGCTGGCACCCGGGGGTAGGACCGGGACCTGACCTGCTGGGGCTTAGCGCCTCTGGCCCGGCCCCGGGGCGCATATTTCACCATCAGTAAGTCACTTTCGGGCTCCTGCGTCTCCGTGGCCTTCCACACAGCATATAATAGACCATAACAGTTGTCCTTTGGGGGAGGCTTTGCTGAAGACCCTTCTGAAGATCGTCGTTCCCTAAGCAAACTTGAATATTTAAAAAATACGGATTGAAAATACAACGCGAAAAGAATGTAGCCTAGGCGATAAATATTGACCTTAAAAATGGAACGTTGATTTTACAGAACAGTTCATTTTAGTGACTTTTAGAAATCGTTACTCTAGCGGCGCATTTTATAAAATTTTGTTCAGTGGCTTGTGCCGTGATCCTAAGAATACATCATTAAATTGAGCCTTATGCAATCATTCCTTGTAAAATCTTAACAGAGCATCACCTCTCTGGAAACTCAGATCTCACAGATGAGAACCACGGAGGAGAAAAAGAGGCCTCTTGGCTAAAAGTCCAGCTCCTGATTCCTAAGGCCTCTCCTAGTAAAGCCCCCTGGAATCTAGGCTCCTAATCTGGAGCTTAAAATAATGCCCGGAATGATGTAGGCACTTAAACATAACTATTTGTTGATGAGACTTTCACAAATGCCCATCCCTAAGGATAACCCTGGCAAGCCTTGTGAAAGAAAGATACTGAGTTCGTACAGGGTGACCAAGCCTAGTTGGGGGAGCAAAGAAAGAATTCCCTGAAAGTGACATTGAAGGATATGTGCAGTACAAATGGGAATTAACTGAAGACGGGGAGGTCAGTAGGAGGAGACCACATCCAGAGAATGGAAAGTTGGAAGGAGGAAGGGGGAAGAGGAAGGAGGTAGAGTTAAAGAAATAGATCATGGGGCCAGACAAGGAGTGGCTTCTTTCTAAGAGCAGAAGGTTTTAGGAAGGGGAGTTATAAGATCATATATGTGTCCAAGATTTATTTCCTAATACCTCCGCACAGGCCGGATTAGAAATGTCAACCCAGGCAGGGGCTGGGGATGGTGGCGGTGGTGCCAGGGCTAGGAGTGGGGATGGAACTGGGAATGGAACAAAACTAGGAACAAAAGGAGATACAAGATAGGACAAAATGGTGGGGCTGCAGGCTATTTAGTGGAGGGACAAAGTGCCCCTCTGTGTCTCAGTATTTCCTCAGGCTATAATTACAACATAATACAGCATTTGCTGTCTCTAATGATTCTGTCATCAGTAATAACTTGTGCTCAGTTCACTTGTAGGAAAGCCTGGGGACATGATAGTAACAAGCACCCTTAGCCTCAAGGGCCCCCACTGACACGGGGAGGACAGATGTGGATGTGACGGAGAACAGGGAAAGAAAAGAAACTCCGACAGTGTTTGGGTCATGGAATTTGGATAATTTTCACTTTCTGTGTAATCTTGGTACTTTGCAGTATTTTTCTGTCATTTGTTTTACTTCTATGGTAAAAATCTAGAAATATCACACAGTTTTTCAGAGAAATTTCCATAAACAATGGTTCAGATGAGAAAGTTTTCAGACCACTGTTGGCTTTTATTGACAATCAATATACAATATGTCCTTATGTTGATGATCTTCATTTTTTTTTTTTTTGGTAGAAGTACAACCAAAGAGATCATTCTTGTTTAGTGACCATTATTTTTTATTAATTTTATTTTATTATGTTAATCACCATACATTACATCATTAGTCTTTGATGCAATGTTCCATGATTCATTGTTTGTGCATAACACCCAGTGCTCCACGCAGAACGTGCCCTCCTTAATACCCATCACCAGGCTAACCCATCCCCCCACCCCCCTCCCCTCTAGAACCCTCAGTTTGTTTCTCAGAGTCCATAGTCTCTCATGGTTCGTCTCCCCCTCTGATTGCCCCCCTTCATTTTTCCCTTCCTGCTATCTTCTTCTTTTTTTAAAACATATAATGTATTATTTCTTTCAGAGGTACAGGTCTGTGATTCATCAGTCTTACACAATTCACAGCGCTCACCATAGCACATACCCTCCCCAATGTCTATCACCCAGCCACCCCATCCCTCCCATCCCCCACCACTCCAGCAACCCTCAGTTTGTTTGCTGAGATTAAGAATTCCTCCTATCAGTGAGATCATATGATACTTGTCTTTCTCTGATTGACTTATTTCGCTTAGCATAATACCCTCCGGTTCCCCAATACCACAAATAATACCTACCTCTGCCCACCACGCCGGCTCTTCGAGAAAGGCGTGAGGGTAATGGATCAGTAGAAAATGCTCTGTCAGTTCATCTGCTAAGAATCAGAGAAACCAACTCCTCAGAAAACCCCAGTTTAGTCTGTGTGACATCAGGCACCGACCTTCTCTTTGCATCTTCCTCCAACATGACCAGGATGCCAGGAGATGAGGAAGAAAGAGAAGGCATAAAAGCTTCCTGTCTAGAGATCCGCTCTAAGTTCTCCTAGGATTTCTTGAAAAAAGTTTCCAAAAGATACTGTTGGGGTTTCCATCTTTGGTGGTGAAGCTCCAGCCAAACTGACCTTCTTGCAAAGAGCTATAAACTCTGCACCAATTACTAAAAAAAAAAAAAAAAAAAAAAAAAATCACGATCTGAAGATTTGAATAGAGGGAAAGCATTCCTTAAAAATAAAGAAAATGGAATCTTTTCTAGGTTATGTGGAGTCCTCCTTGTAATGAGCTCTGTTGCCTTAAATTACGTGAAGGACAGACATTACCTTTATTGGTTTCTCCTCACAGACTTAGCGTGACCATTCTTCTGTTATTTCTTATTGCCTTAGAGGTTTTTGTCACTCAGTATTTGTATGATGGGTTTTATATAATCATTTTTCTGTAACTTATGAAAATTACTCTCATTTCTAGTTTTTTAAATAAGTGAATGGGCAGAGATTTTTAAATAGTAAACATCAAAACGGTCACCCGGGGTGGGTTGTGTCTCTTGAGCCACATTGCTAGAGCCCTGGAAGTGGGCACACTCAGCCTGGCACCTGCATCGAGTACTCCTCTACCACCTGTAATGGTCTGACTTATCAAGGTCTTGCTTTTATATAAATCTTCAGCTTCCTCAAATGCACTTGGTTGCTTTTTGAACTGTTCTCTGTTTCTTCCCCAAAGGGATTGGTGTAGATTTGAAAATTGGTTTTTCCTGAGACTGATCAGAAGTTAGTGACTACTAACTATAATTGATTGTGGTGATGAATGCACAGCTTTATTGAGATGAAATTCACACACCATACAATGCCCCTGTTTAAAATGTCTAATGCAATAGCTTTGTATTCACAAAGTTGTGTGTTCATTATCTCAATTATAGAATATTTTCATTACTCCAAAAAGAAACCCCATCATCCCCAACCTCCTCCTCCCTCCCAGCCCTAGGTAACCCACTAATCTAATTTCTGTCACTAGAGACTTGCCTATTTTACATTTCATATAAATGGAATCATACACTATTAGGCTCTTTCATGACGTGCTTCATTCATTTAGCATAATGCTTTCAAGGCTCATCCATGTTGTAGCATGGGTCAGAGCTTCATTTATTTTTATTGCCCCAAAAATATCCCATTGCATGAATATACTACATTTTATTTATCCATTCAGCAATTGATGGACCTTTGGGTTGTCTCTCCTTTTTGGCTATCAGAAATAATGCTGCTATGAACATTTGTGTGGATGTATGTCTTCCTTCCTCTTAGATGTATACTTAAGAGTGAAATTGCTTGCTCATATGGTAACTCTAAATGTTTGAGGAACTGTTTTCCAAGGTGACTGGACCATTTTGCATTTCCATCAGAAGGGTATGAGGGTTCCAGTTTCTCCAGGTCCTCAACAATCCTTTTTATTATCTATATTTTTGATTAGAGCCATCCTGCTGGGTGTGACATAGTATCTTGTGGTTTTGATTTGCATTTCCATGATGACTAATGATACTGACATCTTTTCATGTGTTTATTGGCCGTTTCTGCACTGTCTTTGGAGAAGTGACTATTCAGATATTTTGCCCATTTTTTATTGAGTTCTTTTATGTTATTATAAAGCATTATTGTAAAATAATTTTTTAATAAGACACATGGCCAGTGATTGTGGCTGTAAGTGTATAGTAGTTGTAAAATAAATATTTATTGAATGAAGGCATGTGAAATACTTGATTCCTTTTCTTAGTGCTTTTGTAGTGTCTAGTGGATTGTTGATGTTTCTTTCTCCTCCTTCTTTTCTTAGGAGCCCATCTTGCAGCTCTCAAATTTCTGTAGAATGCTGTAAACAATCGTCACAGTTGGTTTTCAAGTCATAGAAAGAGTTGCAACTTCTCCTTCGTAACAGAACTTTCCTAGTTGCATTCAATGCCTAACATTGCAGAAGCAGAAAGGGCAAATGATTCTGGAAATGGTGAGCACAAATCCGAGAGAACGTCTCCTGAAGAGAATCTACAAGGTGCTGTCCAGTCTTTCTGCCCTCGTGCTTCAGGGGCACCCTTGGGTCCCAAAGGAGATGGTCATTATCCGTGGAGCTGTCCAGTGACCCACACTCGGGAGAAAATTTATGCCATCTGTTCAGACTATGCCTTTCTCAACCAGGCAACCTCAATCTATAAAACTCCAAATTCAGCCCACTCTTCTTGCCTCTCTGATAGTACCTCTCTATCTGCTGGAAATAATCCATCAAGATACATTGGCATCCCAACGAGTACATCAGAAATCATCTACAATGAAGAAAATAGCTTGGAAAACTTATCCAATAGCCTGGGCAAGCTACCTCTTGCATGGGAAATCGATAAATCTGAATTTGATGGGGTGACCACAAATATGAAACACAAATCAGGTAAGGAAGGAGGCTTGAATTTCACATGTGAAAATAATCAGAAAACAATATATCTTGTTTAAGCTTGCCATTAAACATGGTTTCCTTTTATAACGCTGAACAAGGAACATTGCTGTGGTGTTGTCTGTCATTGTAGTTAAAATATAACTTTGGGCAGAGGACATTTAGTTCATTAATGGGTTACCACTGGAAACTTCACACATAACCTGTACATTTTGAGAGCTTTGAAAAATCTAAGAATGCTGTAAAATACAGGTATTGCAGATAAGTATGTGGTAGCTTAGAAATGGTTCATGAGGTTCACTGGAATAACATACCACTATTTTGTAGTTTTGCAGAGACATGAATTCATCTTTCCCAATTAAATGCTTAGTTTTCTACCATATAACATTGTGGCTTTCTCTTGTTAAAATTTTAGAGCACCCAACAGGGTCTCCAGGTACCACTGAGTAGGTTGTGTCCTGCACAATTTAAGAGGGTGCTGTTCACCTAGGGTCCCATACAGTTTTGGAAATTGCAGTGTGGTGGCCCTGCATCAGAAACTACAGCTTTTCATTTCTTTCTTTTGGACTCACAGTAATAAAGGATTTTTTTGTGGTAGGTACACTTATCCTCATTTTATAGGTAAAGAAATTGAGGCTCAGAGGGGATAAGTTGCTTGTGGAAAGTTGATAGCTAGTAAGAGGTAGAACTGGGATTTGTTCTAGGCTTCTTTGACCATTTTGTAAAACCTCCTTACTTGTTCATCTGCCAGATCAACTTGTTTCACAGAATATTATGTAAATTCGTAATTCTCGGTGTGTTGGAGGGTTTCACTTTGTGTCTATTTTTTATGGGTGATTGGCCTATAATTTTTTCATAATATCTTTTTCAGGTGTTGGCATTAGGGCTATGCAGGTCTCCTAAGACAAGTTGGGAAGTGATCGCTCCTGTTTTCTGAGGGGTTTTCAGAGGGGTGTTAAAAATCTGTAGCAGTAGGGGGCGCCTGGGTGGCTCAATCGTTAAGCGTCTGCCTTCGCTCCGGTCAGGATTCCGGGGTCCTGGGATCGAGCCCCGCATCGGGCTCCCCGCTCCGCGGGAAGCCTGCCTCTCCCTCTCCCACTCCCCCCGCTTGTGTTCCCTCTCTCGCTGTGTCTCTTTCTGTCAAATAAATAAACAAAATCTTAAAAAAATCTCTAACGGTGATTATCGAGTTGTCTTGATTCCCATTAATTCTGTCAAGTTTTAGTTTGTCCATTTTATCTAAGTTGTTGGTTTTGTTGGCATAAATTTATTTCTAATAGTTCTCTTTATCCCTCTAATACCTACAGGGTCTTTAGTAATAATTCCTCTTTCATTCTTGATACTGGTCATGGATGTTCTCTTTTTTTCCTGGCTAGGGCTTTATCAATTTTGTTCATCTTTTCAAATAACCAGCATTTAGCTTTGTTAATTTTCTCGATTGTTTGTTTGCTATTCTACTGATTTGTGCTTATTTTTTTCTTCCTTCTACTTACTTTGGGTTTACTTTGTTCTTCAGCTTTTTGATTCGAGACTTTTCTCCTATAGCATTTAGTGCTTTAAATTGCTCTGTGAGTACTGTTTTAGCCACAGCCTATGACTGTTGATACACTTTATTTTCATTGTCCTTTAATGTGAAGTATTTTCTAATTTCCCTTGTGATTTCTTCTTTGATATATGCATTACTGTTTAGAACTGTGCTGCTTAATTTCCAAATATTTTGAGGCTTTTGCTAAATGTTGATTTCGAATTTGATTCCATGGTGGACAGAGGACATATGATCTCCATCTTTTAGGATGGGTTGAGACTAGTTTTATGACCCAACATACTGTCCATGTTGGTGAATGTACCATGTGCATTTGAAAAGAATGCCTGCCCCTTCTGTAGTTGTTGGTCGTAGTGTTCTATAAATATTTATTGGGTCAAAGTGTTTGAGAGTGTTGTTCACATCTTCTATGTTACTACTTAATTTTTGTCTTGCTCTATCAATTGCTGAAAATGGGGTGTTAAAAATCAGCTGTGATTGTCGTCTTTTCTGCATTTAATCCTGTTGATTTTTGCTTCTGTGCAATTTGAAACTCTATTATTAAGTGCACACACAATTATGATTTTTATTTCCTCTTGTTGCATTGACTTTTCTATCGTTATGAAATGTCCCTCATTATTCCTGGTAATATTTCTTATTCTGAAAGTGACTTAGATATTAATCTAGCTACTCCACCTTTCTTTTGACTGGTGTTTGCATGGTATACCCTTTTCCATCCATTTATTTTCAACTTGTATCTTTTTATATTTCGAGTCCATGTCTCCTACTCAACCATAAAAAACGATGAGATTTTGCCATTTGGCACAACATGGATGGACCTAGAGGGCATCATACTAAGTGAAATAAGTGAGACAGAGAAAATACCGTATGATTTCACTTGTACGTGGAATCTAAAACCCAAAACTAATGAATAAACAAACAAAAGGTAGAATCAGGCCTATAAATACAGAGAACAAATTGATGGTTGGCAGAGGGGAGGAGGGTGGAGGGGACAGGCAAAATGGGTGAAGTGGAGTGAAAGATAACAGTTTCCAGTTATGGAATGAATACCTTATGGGAATAAAAGGTACAGCACAGGGAATATAGCCAGTGATTCTGTAATTGCGTTGTATAGTGATGGATGGTAGCTACTTTTGAGATGAGCATAATATCTAAAATTGTTGAATCACTGTGTTGTGTACCTGAAACTAATGTACCATTGTGTGTCAAATCCACTCAAAAAAGAAAAGACATGATTCATCTTCCTCTTGATAAAAATCTTATAACTGAAAAAAAGTAAAGTGCATCTCTTAAAGATTTTTTTTTTTTTATTATTCATTTGACAGAGAGAGAGCACAAGTAGGCAGAGGCAGCAGAGGGAGAGGGAGAAGCAGGCTCCCCACCGAGGGGAGAGCCCGATGCGGGGCTCGATCCCAGGACCCTGGGATCATGACCTGAGCCGAAGGCAGACGCTTAACTGACTGAGCCACCCTAGGCGCCCTAAAGTGCATCTCTTAAAGATAGCTTTTAAATATAGTCAATGAACTACTTGTTTCAGGTATTGTTTCTTTTAGTTCTGGAATTTAGATTTTTAAAATAGTTTTGGTTCCTATCTTGGATTTGCTATCTTTTCATTCATTACTGGAAGATTGTATCTATCTCATAAGGCGTAGTTATAATATCCACTTTAAAGTCCTTATCTGCCAGTTTTAAGACCTGGGTCATCTCAGAGTTGGTCTTATCTTTTTTTTTCCTTGAGAAGGTGTCATATTTTTCAGGTTCCTTACAAGTTCAATAATTTTGGAGGTATCCGAGGTATTGGAAATGTTGTGGTGATTTGGGATTCTGGTATATTCCTCCAGAGAGTGGATTTAAGTTTGTTCATTTGTTTGTTTGTTTTTAATTTTAGCAGCAATGAATTTGGTTTGATTAAAACTGCAGATTTTGTCTCTGGAGGACATTTCAAATCTCTGTCCAATATTTTAAGCCTTAGCTGTGCTGTTTGGGGTCTGCTTTATGCATGGTTCAGGGATCAGCCTAAGATTTGGGCCAAATGTATACACAAAATTTGAGTCTCCCCTTTTCTGGCTCTTTTATTTCTGGTCTCCCCACCTACCTTACTTTCCAGTGACAGTGATTGCCCAAAACTCTGTCCCGTAGTTCCTCAAGTCAAAAGAACGGCAGATATTCTACTTATATTTGCTATCCTCAGACCTTTCTCTAAAAGCCAGTGTGATGACTAGAGGTAGGTGTGTATGTATGTATGTTTCTTTGGTGTTGGGGCTAGATGGGTGTGTTATTGGTAGCGTGAGGAATGGAAGAAGGAATATGACAATGTTAAGGGAAGGTGGGCAAAGGTTCCTGGAGTTGATGAGATGGGGAGACAGGGTGTTGAGGTGTTGATCTGTTATGTTCCCTTCTCAAACTTAGCTTCCACTTTGCCAGAGCTTCCCTCTCTCGAACTGCATGGAATTTTGTCTGTGGGACCAGCTCCCCCTGTGGCAATGTGGGGACTTCATGAAGGGTGTGCATTTGGAATCCACACTTACTTAGCCGAGGGGGTTCCTAGGAGTAAAGTAGAAGGGAACGGAGGGCAGGCTCAGGTAAGCCTTAGAGGAAATATGCGGGTCCAGACCACTCTGGGGGCTGCTTGGATCACAGATTACCACACTTCATTGGTCTCTAAGATTTTAAATGGTTGGGAAAGCTATGTAGGGCATTAAGGCACAATTGGGCAGTGAAGACATGGGAAAAAAATGTTGCAAAGTTGTTTTTCCATCTTCTTACTCTCTAAGATTTATTTTATTAGTGAAAAGAAACTTTTCAGAATGAGACTTAACTCATGTTTGCCAGTGGTTGTTCAGCTCTGTAGAAATTTTGTGTTCTCCATAAAGACTTAACGAGAATAGCTAGAGGGAATGGGGAAAAACTTGTTTCTGGATATTATAGTGTTTGTCCCTATGACATCTTACAAAAATCAAAGAAATCCCCTGTGTCACAAGAGTTTCTGAGTTCCAGCTGGTTTGGGTTTTATTGTAGAGCATCTTGAATGAATGAAACAAGCCCCTTTCCATGTCTGTTTCTAGGCGTATATCTATATAATCTATATTTTATAATTATGCATAACTCATAAAAATAAAACATTAGCTTTTATTTAATTTTTATAGCAGATTTGATTATTTCATTGAAAATATGTTATGTGTAAAAATTATTAAATATTTGAGCGTAGCTGTCTGAAATGTTAATGGTGTTTTAGTGACATGAAACTTGAATGGTATTTATTAATATATATTTTAAAGTTTTTATTTAGATTCCAGTTAGTTAACAGACAGTGTTTTATTAGTTTCAGGTGTACAATATAGTAATTCAACCCTTCCATACATCACCCGGTGCTCATTGCAAGTATGCTCCGTAATCCCCATCACCTAGCTCACCCATCCCTTCTGGTGACCATCAGTTTGTTCTCTATGGTTAAGATTTTAACTAAATAATTTTTGCCTGAGTAATCCATTAGCATTATTCAGAAATAAAAAGTGTAAAAATTAAACAGTGCAAAGTCTAATTTCATTTTTGTCTCCTTTTTGTCTAGCTCCCAATTCTCCTCCTCCTTAGGTAACTACTATTATTTGCGTTATGTGTCTTTTGGAGAAATTGTGTGTATGTGCGCGTGCATGCGCATGTGTGTTCATGCATAAGCACACACACACACACACACACACACACAGAAAGGAGACTTTGTTTTCCCTTCTAGTTTCTGGTGCTAAAGTTGCATTTTAATAATATACATGTGAGTATCATTCTTAATTTGTTTTGTGGTCTCTGCAAGGCCTGGAGATATTTTTAGCCCCTTTTTATTTTTTTTAAATATTTTATTTATTTAGTTGAAAGGGAGAGAGAACACAAACAGGGGGAGTGGGAGAGGGAGAGGCAGGCCACCCGCTGAGCAGGGAGCCCGATGCAGGGCTCGATCCCAGGACCTTGGGATCGACCTGAGACAAAGGCAGATGCTTAACGACTGAGCCACCCAGGGGCTGGCCTGGAGATATTTTTAAATATCACATTATTGCATTATTGGATCTAGTGCTTTTACTTTCTTAACAGAGTTACATTAATGTGGTTTTATTGTTTTGTAGAAAGGATTCATTTTTGGAAAGTGGCCTAGTTAAATAGTTTACTGTTGGTAATTTGATTTTCTAAACCAAAAATTTTGTGATTGCGTCTTTTACTAGCTGAGCAACCAGATCAGGAATTGGAATATAAGAATCTAATAGGAACTAACACTCGTGGTTGCTTAAACTTGTTTTTATTCTCTCTCTTTAAGCCAGGGGAGTATTCTTGAAGATACATGTATTTCTTCAATATGTTCGCGAGTATTTTGAGAACTAGCGGCATTGCTTTTTAATTTTGTTACATAATTAATTGTATTTCCATGGTAGTTTATTTCATCTTGAGCATTTTGCTTATTTTATATTCTTGTATTCTAGGCAATGTAAAGAAACAAATTTCCAAGAAAAAAACTTCAGATAAAAAAGGAAGACATCAAAGGGAGTGGCCTCAGTATTCTCCTCTTGAAGACATTAAGCAGCGGAAAGTATTAGATCTCAGAAGATGGTAATCTCTAAAAATTGACTTTTTTCCTTAACCACACAATACCATTGTCATACTTAATAAAATTAACAATATTTCCATTGTATCTGATTCCCAGGCTAAAGTTAGATTTCCCAGGTTTTTCTGAAGTAACTTCACGCTTGGTTGTTCATAGTGGGACCCAACCATGAGCCACACCTTGTGTTTGTTTGTTGTGGCCTATATGTCTCTCCTAATCTAGAACAGTCTCTACCTCACTTCCTTCATGGTTTTTGTTTTGTTTTGTTTTGTTTTTAATTCTAGGAGATTGACTTCTTAAAGAGACTTGGCCAGATGTCTTGTAGAGTGTCCTACCTTCTGGATTTGTCTAATTTTTTTCCCTTGATAGTTGTCTAAATTATTTCTATAACCTTAGTATTTCCTGAAAGCTAGAAATTAGACGTAAAGACTTGGTTTAGATTCTGGTTGAACATTTTAGGCAAGAGTACTGCCTAAGTGTGATCCTGTGTCCTCTGTATTGCATCACATCAGGAGGTACATAGTATCTGGTCATCCAGGATTAGATTCTAAGAGTGATCGCTGGATTTCAATGGTGACAGCCTAGCCCACATTACCAAGGTTCTTTGTTCCCCTCTGCAACGTCATGTAATCAGTGGGGTGGCAGTGGCATCAGGCTAATATCCTGTCCCCATCAACTTTTCACCTAATGGTTTTGGCCAAACCCCATTGACAATTGTTGCCTGAATCCTTGTTGCAAAATGGTGATATTTCAAATTTCTATCATTTCTTCTCCTTTTATTAGCTGATATTCTTCTAATAAGAAGAACGTTCACTCATCAGCTGGGGCTATTTGGTTACCTTAGAATACAGTTCCTATTCTAAAGAAAAAAATGTTTAATTAATGATAGCTTTTAAATATTACTAGTCTATGATTTGAGGTTTTAAAAATTATTTGTATGAGGTTGAAAAATGCTAGATTTTATCAGTTATTTCATATATTAGACCCTTTACTGTGGGTTGAGAATAGAGATGCACAAAACATGGCCCTTGTTTTCTCAAGGTTTAGAATCTAGGTGAGAAATGGGAACTAAGCAGAAAAAACATAAAATATCTCAGGCAGTCTGTCAGATGATGAGTATGAATAAGCTACCATTAGTAGAGGAGGTAATGAGGAGCTTGGTCGTAAGAGGCTTCACTGAGGAGCTAGGTCTTAAGAGAGGAAATCTGAGGGGATGGAGTGTCCAAAGGTCTTTGAATGGATGGTAGGAAAGTGTCTTGCTTGTTGGTAATGAAGATATGACAAGCTTGTTTGGAGTGAAGCTCAGAGAAGCCTAGAAACTCGCCCAACATCACATGGTGAATAAGTAGATCTTGTATTGAAACTGAAGAGAGCCAGACTCCAAAGTTCATATTCTTTCTTTGTAACACCTGTCATGATCTATATCTTGGACACCAGGCTAAGGATTTAGCTTTTTTTCTTATGATGTAGAGAGAAACCATTGATGATTTCTTTTTTTTTAAAAGATTTTACTTATTTATTTGACAGAGAGAGACACAGCGAAAGAGGGAACACAAGCAGGGGGAGTGGGAGAGGGAAAAGCAGGCTTCCTGCTGAGCAGGAAGCCCGATGTGGGACTCGATCCCATGTCCCTGGGATCATGACCTGAGCCGAAGGCAGACGCTTAATGACTGAGCCATCCGGGCGCCCCATTGATGATTTCTTAACAAAAGAGCATTTTACAAAGATAAACTGGTAGTAATAAGTATGTAGAGCATGTTGGAGAAAGACACTATAATCCAAAACAGTAATGTTAGTTTCTTTGGAGAAAGGCTTTGCCCATTTTTGCTTCTAATCCCTTAGGTTTAAGATATGTTTTAGAAACAAATTTGGATAATTGTATTTTAACAGTACAATATGTAAAGTCGTAAAGGCTTGGATGAAGAGGATAGATGGGAGAAATAACCTGAGGGGAAGAATTACCAGGATGACAAGCTCATTTCCCACCGAGAATATTACAAGATTAGGGTTGCAGTGGAAACACCCATAGGAAATAGTAGAAAGTCAATTAAAGTTGTAGGCCAGTCATGAGCAAGACCAGTAAAACAAGTTTGGATGGATGAAGAAATAGGGAAAATCTTAAGGGTGCCTAGGATTGATCCTAAGGCTTTGTGAAGAAGTGTTTAAGATGGAAGGGAGAGATTTAAATATGACAGAATAAGTCTTTTTACTCCATTCCTTCTCTCTGTTGGGGAGGTAGACCTTCCTCTGCCCTTCAAGGTTCTTCTAGCTGGACTTAGAATCAAATTGACATGAGACAGATGAACAGGAGAAAATCAAATTTAATAATGTATGTATAGGGAACCCACACAGACATGGAAATTCCAAAGACAATGAGGTAACATGAAGCTTAGTGAGCTAAGGAGAGGGGTAGGGGTCTGAGGATACAAAGGGGAGGAAGGCCATTAGCAGGAAGGGGAAAGGAGATGTTCTGAAAAACAGAGTTTGCCCTATTATGCAGATCAGTTTCTTAGGTAAAGGAGAGTCTCTGCCAATAGCTCTCTTCCTCTTAAAAAGCAGGCAGTTGGGGGGGTGGTAGAGAGCTTTTTCTGAATCTGCTGGGTTTGGATTGCTTTTAACTCAAAATAATGTTCATGCCAAAGTGGTCCATCTTGGGGTGACCTGCTCTTGGCACCTACACCTCAAACCCATGGAAACAATAACAAAATTTAAAAAAAAAAATAGGGAAAAACTCTATCTTCCCTGAAACAAAGAAATAGCAACATTCCCAAACCATAGGTTTTAATTCAAGCGTCTGAAATCCTGTGCACTCTGGACCAACAGAGAGAGGACACCAAGGGCTACACAGACTATGGTGGGCCTCAAACAGCACAGGTTTCCCTAATGTTTGTGTGGCAGTCCTAAAACCATACGGTGACCCTTTGGTTAGATCCAGGGGTGTTACAGCTGCACCAGTGGAGAAACATTGGAGTTCTTGGTGGAGATCCAGTTCAGCGCTACAGAAATGCAGGTAGGGGCTATGGAAGGAGACCTCCTGCTGATCTGATTGCCACTTGATTATCTTACCCCTTCATTTCCAGCCAAGGACAGTGCCTCTGGTGAATTGCTGGGAAGGTTGGTGACGGCAAGAGTGAAACACAGGCCACATATTTCCTGATTTCAAAACATTACAGAGGCACATAATCAAAACAGTGTGGTCCTGGCATAAAGACAGATATGTAGACAAAGGGGTCAGAATAGAAAGCCCAGAAATAAACACTCGTGTAAATAGGCAAACAATCTTCAGTACGGGTGCCAAGACCACAGAATAGAGGAAGGACAGTGTCTTCAGCAAATGGTGCTGGGAAAAGTGGCTATCCTCCTGCAAAAGCATGAACTTGACCCTTACTTTTCACCATACACAAAAATGAACTCAAAATAGATTAAAGACATAAATATAAAGATCTAAAACTATAAAACTCCTAGAAGAGAACATAGGAGGAAATTTCATCACATTGGATTTGACAACAATATCTGAGATATAACACCAAAAACACAGGTAATAAAAGTAAAAATAGACAAATGGAATTATGCCAAGCCTTAAAACTTCTGTGCATCAAAGGAAACAATCAACACAATGAAAAGGCATCCTCCAGAATGGGAGAAAATATTTGCAGATCATATATCTGATAAGGGGTTAATATCCAGAATCTGTAAAAACTCCTACAATTCAGCAACAACAAAAAATATCAAAGAACCTGATTAAAAAATGGGCAAAGGACTTGAATTGACATTTCTCCAAAGAATATGCAAATGGCCAACAAGCATACAAAAAGATGTTCAACATCATTAATCATCAGAGAAATGCAAATCAAAATTGCAGTGTGATATTACCTCACACCCATTAGGGTGGCCACTATCAAAAATGCAGAAAATAATAATTATTGGCAAGGATGTAGAGAAATTGGAACTTTTGTGTGCTGTTGGTAGGAATATAAAATTATAAAATGGTACAGCACCTATGGAAAAGTATGGAAGTTTCTCAAAAAATTAAAAATGGTATGTATGTTATGGGCCGAATGTTTGTGTCTCCCCTCAATTCAGATATTGAAATCCTAACCACCCCCAAGGTGATGGAATTAGGAAGTGGGGCCTTTGGGAGGTAATTAGGTCCTGAGGGTGGAGCCCCCGTGAATGGGATTAGTGCCTTATAGAAAGAGACAGGAAGAGGGAGCTTGCTTCCTCCCCTCTGTCTCTGCTCCATGATGTGAGGATACAAGGAGAGGGTGGTCATATGCTAAACAGGAGGCAGCTTCTCACCAGACATTGGATTTGCTGGCATCTTGATCTTGGACTTCTTAGCCTCCAGAACTGTGAGAAATAAATGTTTGTTGTTGAAGCTACTAGGTCCATTGCAATTTGTTATAGCTGCCTGAGCTAAGGCACCATATGGTCCAGTAATCCCAATTCTGGGTATATATCCAAAAGAATTGAAAGCAGGATCTTGAAGAGATATTTGCATACTATGTTCATTGCAGCATTATTCACAATAGCTGAGAGGGGGAAGCAGCCCAAGTGTTCATTGATAAAGGAATAAAGAAAATGTGCTATGTACCTAGAATGGAATATTATTCTGCCTTAAAATAGTAGGAATTCTGACGCATGCTACAACATACATGAACTTTGAGGAAGGACATTATGCTTGATGAAATAAGCCAACACAAAAAGACCAATAATATGTGATTCACTTATAAGAGGTACTTAAGAGTGGTCAAAATCATAGAGACAGAATGTAGAATGGTGGTTGCCAGTGACGAAAAGATAAATACTGTAGATTCCATTTATATGATGTGTAAAGTAGTCAAACTCATAAAAATAGAAAGTAGAGTGGTGGCTGTCAGAGGCTGAGGGGAGGGGGAAAAGGGTGTCATCCAGCGGGTGTAGAGTTTCAGTCTTGCAAGATGAAAAAGTTCTAGAGATCTCTTTCACAACAATATGAATATAGCTAACATCACTCACCTGTACCCTTAAAAATGGTTAAGATGGTAAATTTTATGTTGTGTTTCTACCAAAATTATATAAAAAAAAAACAAAAATGGGGGCAGATTTGACAGTGGAGAGTCGAAGATAGCAGACAACTCTTCTGTGATAATGGGCTCTATTCAAGGATGAGCAAAATCATAGAGGAAGCAACTTGATACATGTATATAAAAGTTGCAAATAAGCAAAAACAGGGACAACTGCAGAAGGCATATACATCTTTGGGAGAGTTAGTCTAGGAAGTAAAGTTAAAATTCAGAATAAGCCCCCTTTATCAAAAAAGTTGTAATTTACACACTTTCTCAAAATGAAGTCAAAGAAGACATTGTATGACAACAGAAGGAAATAATTGACAGGTCCTTGGAAAGAAGTGGAGAAAAAAAAAAGTCATTGTAGAGGTGAAAACCACATTCGAAGCAAGGAAAAAAAAAACCCAACCCAATGAAAAACATAATCAAGTCAATGGCGAGCCAGTGTGAGGAAATCGCACAAAACTCACATGGAAAAGAACAAAGACATAAAAATGATGAAAGAACAGATAAATATTGGGGCGCCTGGTTGGCTCAGTTGGTGGAGTGTGTGACTCTTGATCCTGAGGTTTTGAGTTTGAGTTTATTTAAAAATAAAATCTTAAAAAAAAAAAAAAACAGATAAATACGGATAACAGACAGAGGCTCCAAATAGTACTAACTGGTATTCTTGAGGAAGAGATCAGAGCATAGAAAAGAAAATAATTTGAAGACACAACTGGAAGGAATGTTCCCCAAATGAGGAAAGGCTAGAGTCTGCAGATTTGAAAGGGTAAATTGTGTCCCAGGAAAGGAAAGTCGATACAGATTGATGAGCACCAAGGCATGTTCTAGGGGAGTTACTGAAATTCAAGTATAAGGAGTCTTGGGTGCCCAGGTGCAAAACCAGTTGTACAAAGGGAAATTATCCCTTTGGTCTCTGTCTTCACCATGGCAGCACTGGCTGCCAGGCTACGGTGGAGTCATGTTTCTCAGGAGAGAAAAAGTCACCCAGATGTCACATTCACATTGTCATTCGAGTGTGGAAGCAACAGACTCCGAATCATGTGAGAATTCAGTGACTACAAAACCCATGAGCTCTTAGCCATTCAACAAGGAATGTAAACCAACCAAGATATTGCGGGTAAAGAAAGGAATGGAAAGCAGTAGGGAACAAGTCATGTTGACTGCTAAGTCCATTTGGAGGAAATTTAGCTGCAGAACGGAATGTTGGAGGGAGCTATGAATACCTGAGCACTTAGAGAAGTTAGCTTCTGAGTTTGAAACGGGAGCTGTATAATGCCAACACTTTCTCAGGCCAGGATCATTTCTGTGGGTAGGAATTCTTTTCTAAACAGCCTTGCGAATAGATATAAACAAAGTCATTCTAATGTGTTCATTGGTTTTTTTCTTTTGTGGATGTAAACCAGTTATTTTGTAGTCTTTTCTGGAGGATGATTCTAGTTTCCTAGGGCTACCATAACAAAGTGCCATAAATTGGGTGGCTGAAAACAATAGAAACCGTCTCATAGTTCTGGAGGTTGGAAGTCGGAAGTCAAGGTATTGGCAAGGCCACATTCCCTTGGAAGCCATGGGGTAGAATTTTTTGCTTCATTCTAACTCCCAGTGCTTTGTTGGCAGCCCTTGGCATTCCTAGACTTGAAGCTTCGACGCTTCTGCCTCCATCTCTGTTTCCCCCACCATGTGTCTGGGTCTTCGTCCGGCAGGCATTCTCCTCTCTGTGTGTCCTTCTTCTCTTTTTATAAGGACACCGGTCATCTTGGATTAAGGGCCCACCCTTACTCCAGTGTGACCTCCTCTTAATGCAATTCCTTCTGCAAAGACCCTGTTTCCAAGTAAGGTTGTATTCATAGACTTCTGTGGTTAGGACTTCAACGTGTCTTTTTAGGGTGGTGTAGTTCAGTCCATAACAATTCGTGTATTATGTGGCTACATAATAACCATATAGTTAAGGACCATAAGAATCTTTTGTATCTAGTCTTAAAGGTTCTAGTTCAGCCTATAGATACAAGGGTTGTTGATTTGTGTAGGCGCCATTATGCATATTATGTGGACATATACGAATATATATACATGTATCTGTAATTTTTCTTTTTGTAATTAACTTTAAGGTAAGACCAAAACTGTGTTTAGTGATAAGTCTTATTTCTCCTTTTTGTTTTGGCCACTGTCAGCACCTTCATTAGAAAGCAGTTGGGAGGTGCACCTGGCTGGCTTAGTCCATAGAGTGTGTGACTCTTCATCTTGGGGTTGTGAGTTTGAGCCCCGCATTGGGTGTAGAGATTCCTTAAAAAAAATAAAATCTAAAAAAAAAAAAGCAGTTGTGAAAAGGTAATTTGAAAGCCAATACTATTTCTTTTTTTCTGATTGAATAGTCTGCTTCTTTTCTCCTCAGTTCACATTAGCTGCAGTCACTTCTCTTGACACGTGACAATTTAGAAAATTGTCTCGATTACTCAGTGCAATGAAATTGTGCCATGGAAGGATTTTGTGTTACACTTTAAAATTCTCTGTGACAATGGAACCATTGCTTCTCACCCAAGGGTTTTTAGTTGGACATAGTTGGTGATAAATGGGTGGTAAATTGTTTTTTAGTCTGAGTTGAAGAATCTGAAAAATTGATACATGGGGACAGTGCTTTGTTTCGTTTCTCCAGTATTTTTGAAGTTGCAAATAATCATGTATGCAGCTCAGTTAGGAGCTTACACTGAAATTTTAGTAGTTGGTGCCTACATTTATATATTATTATTTCTTTTCCATTGGTTTAGATAACATCTACTTTAAAGAGTGGTTAGTTAAACTTAGCTAACTTTATTAAACTGGATGGTTTATTGTTGTTATGCATTTACAATATATTTAATAAATAAAAAAATATTTTAAGTGAGTAAAGATTTTACATTGGCTTATATGAGTAAAGTTTTCATTATGCTAACACATTTAGTTGCCATGAATATTATATTTCTGTATCCACATTTTGTATTCATTCAAGTGAAGAAAACAGTCTTTTGTTTTCTCAGGTACTGCATAAGCCGACCACAATATAAGACTTCTTGTGGTATCTCCTCATTAATTTCGTGTTGGAATTTTTTATATAGCACGATGGGAGCTGGAAAGTAAGTATTTATTAATTTATTGGTATCCCTAAATTCCAAATTCAGAAGTTTTTTAGTAAAAAGCAATACGCTTTTTCTGTAATTGAAGAGTTTTAAGAATAAGTTTTTCATACATCAAGAAAAAAATTGCTGCATTTTGTTATAAGCCTTTAGCTAAAAATAATAAGCATGTATTATTTGTGATAAAATAAGTATTAAGAATATAGTTGACCCTTGAAAAACACAGGGGTTAGGGCAGTCTCAAATCCACATAAAACTTTTGACTCCCCAAGAACTTAATGACTCATGGCCTACTGTTGACTACAAGCCTTACCAATAACATAAACAGTAGATGAATACATACCTTGTGTGTTATATGTATTATATACTGTATTCTTACAATAAAGTAAGCTAGAAAAAAAATGTTAAGAGTATCATAAAGAAGAGAAATGCATTTAAAGTACTGCATTGTATTTATAAAAAAAAATTTTCTGTGTATAAGTGGACCTGTGTGCTTTAAACCCATGTTGTTCAAGGGTCAACTGTATTACTAAAATTGTTTGCAAATCAGATGGACATATGAACATTGAGGCAGGTTATATTTCCATATGATTGGAATTGTAAAATGAAAGGTAATGTTTCTTTTGTAGTCTTCCACCTATTACCCAAGAAGAAGCTTTACGTATTTTGGGCTTTCAACCCCCATTTGAAGATATTAGGTTCGGCCCTTTCACTGGAAATACAACACTTATGAGGTATGAAGTCCTTGCTTACAGACAACACCTGATTTCTAGTTCTGTGAAATAACAATGCTGTAGATGTGTGTTGATAGGAAAACCATGTTTCCAGCTGCTGGGCCCCAGCCTTTGGTAGATACACCAAACTTGGGTGCTGCCTGAATTTTGCTGGAATTGGAATAGTGCCATCTGTGCTATGGAACTGCTGGCTATGAGCAAACTTTCTTGTCATTTTCAGATGGTTTAGACAAATTAATGACCACTTCCACGTAAAAGGATGCTCGTATGTTCTATATAAGCCTCATGGGAAGAACAAAACAGCTGGAGAAACTGGTAAGTAAGCATATAGAAGATTTTTACACACACACGCCTTAGGATCTGTCTCAAAGATTGGCTGATTTGGTTCATGGGACATTATGCAAACCTTAAATACAATCTCTTATTTTTATATGTCTTTATCCAAGGGGGAAATCATAATAGAAATCTGTAGGGTACTTTCATAACATGGGTGAATATTTTTAGCTCTTCTCATCTTTGCATGTAGAACTTTTAGAATTTTCAAGTATGTCCTAAACACTACTTTAATGCATTGCTTGTATTGTTTGGGCCTATGGCGTGTGTGTGTGTGTGTGTGTGTGTGTGTGTGTGTGTGTGTGTGCTGGTAAAACTCTTTCAGGAAACAACATGGAATTTGCAGTTCCTCTTCCTAAAAAGGAATGCCAGGATTTTAGAATATCTGATGGTAGGCCTGCACAGTAACATCTAACAACAGGACAATGGTCTTTGAAAGTGACAGAGTTCTATTACAAAATAGTCTTGGCTGTAACAGAGAGTAATGGAACTGATCTTCAGGACTATTTTAGTTATATGTTAGTTATATTGGACAATTTCCATCTTTCACATTTCATCATAGCCTTTTGACTTTACTAATTAGAAAATTATAATATAGTTAAGAAAAAAATTATTTGACACTTGTTAAAATGATAATGGAGGCTTTATTCAAGACTATTGTAGTGGATTATTATGATGGGAGCAGAGATGGGATTCAACCCTGAGTACAACAAAGACTACTGAGATTTATAGCCAATTAGCAAAGTGAGTGGTTGGGAGGTTACTATAAGGGGGCATGAAGGGGGGTTAGGGGGATCCTTGCTAACTGCTCTGAGAGGATTCTTGTGGTAGGCAGGCCAAGGGCAGGCTACAGGCTTAGACATCAAGAGTGGGGCATGAGGAAACTGATCAGGTATTAAGGGTGACAGAGTCTCCTTAAACTGGCTTAGCAGGGTTCTTGCTAAAATTGGACTAACCAAGGATGGACACAGAAGCCTGAGGTGGAGTCCTACTGGAGAAGAGGGCTCCGAGGAACTTAACCAGTCTGGTTAAAGAGAGAGGGTACATGGTTTACCAAGGTGAAGGACTGAAACAGAGAGTAGGTTATAGCCTGTTGACCTGTAGCAGGTATAGCAAGTTGGTTATGAGTCAGGCACACTTGGGAGTTGACATGTGTTGGTTTCTATACATACTGGTTCTGTGACCTTGAACAAGGCAGTTAGGACCACTTACTGAGTCCAGTGTAGACCTTTGTCTTTCCATATTTGTACCCATCCCATAGGGTCACTGTGAAGATAAAAAGAGACATATATTATATATACCTAGCCCCTTGTGTGACACAGAGTAAGGACTCAGTAAATGTTAGCTTTTATTCTTACTCCCTAAATTCTGCGCATTTGCAGAGAGCCTGTCCCTGTGGAAAAAACAGCTTTAAATGAATGGTATTTTTTTTTTCTTTCTGTTTCTGGTGAGACTCAACACACTTCCTCAGGAATTGGTCAGACAGTTAAAAACTAACAAAGGATATACTTTCCAGGTTGCTAATTTTCTCTTCCCCTGTGTTTAGTTTGCTTTTTTTTTTTTTAATGAAGAAAAGTGTCTACTGAATTTCAGTTTAAAAAAAAATTCAGTCATGTTTTTCATTCCAGAAATACCTAGTTCTTTTTCAAATCTTAAAAAAATTTTTTAGGGCGCCTGGGTGGCTCAGATGGTTAAGCGTCTGCCTTCGGCTTAGGTCATGATCCCAGGGGCCTGGGATCGAGTTCCGCGTCGGGCTCCCTGCTCCTTGGGAGCCTGCTTCTCCCTCTGCCTCTCTCTCTGTCTTTCACGAATAAAGAAATAAAATCTTTAAATAAAAAAAATTTTTAAACTTGAGGTAGAGTTGGCATATAACATGACATTAGTTTCAGCTATATAACATAATAATGATTTGCTATTGTATACATTGCAAAAGGACCACCACAATAGGTGTAGCTCACACCTGTCACCACACGTACTTACAGATTTTTTTTCTTGTGATGAGGACTGTCAAGCTTTACTTACTTTACAGCTTTCAACTATAAAATACAGCATTATTAACCATAGTCTCCAGCTGTACATTGTATCCCCATATCTGGCTTATTTTATAACTGGAAATTTGTGCCTTTAATCACCTTCACACATTTCACCTTCCCTATTTTATTTTATTTTTTATTTTTTTATCTTTTTTAAAAAAGATTTTATTTATTTATTTGACAGAGAGCGAGACAGAGAGAGAGGGAACACAAGCAGGGGGAGTGGGGGAGGGAGAAGCAGGCTGCCCGCTGAGCAGGGAGCCCGATGCACCCAGCACCCTGGGATCATGACATGAACCATCCAGACGCTTAACCCATTTTATTTTTTAAAGTCTGTTGTTTCTTATAATTTCAAGCCCCCTTTATTTTTTTTCAAATACATTAAACCTTTTTTTCCCTGTATTTGATCTAATATCTAAAATTTGTCTGATTCTACTTTCTCTTGTTTCTTTTGGATTTCAGTTGAGATGTTGTGTTTCCTTGTGTGTATAATTTTTTAAAACTGTTATCTGTTTAGTTGGATCTACTTCTGTGGCAGGGTTTGGGGCTTGGTTTGGATTTAAAAATCTTGAGAGAAGATTTGCATTTAGTATTGCCCATTTCCTGGAGTACTGGGACAATTTTTATTTAAACTCTCTAATTGAGGTTTTTTTTTTTTTTGATGATACAGATGGCATCATTCTGAACTGGTTTATGATTTTGAATTCTTAGAGGAAATCTTGGCTGCACCATCAATCCAAAGTTTAGACTGGCACATTTCTTTGGTCTCTGTTCCATGTGGTCACTTCATTTCTGGTTCCCCTCTATACTGCCTCATGTTGTTCCAGCTTTGCATGGGTTTTCTCCTCTTGTCCTCTTCAAGAGAAGGCAAAACTTTACCTCTACCCATCTTAGGTTTTCAGCTGGGACATGTAGCAAAAAGACAGATGAGCAAGTTTATTAACACGTACGGCGCACTTCATGTGGGAGAAACCTCAGTGAAAAGTAACTCAGCCTGGTGGCTTAGAATGGCTTACTTAGCATCTGCAACAAAGAACAATACATTTGTAGAGGAGTGACGGCTATCTGGGGAGCCCAGGGCATCCCAGGGAAGGTTACTTATGTGGGAGGGAACTAATGGAGGAAGGTTTGTTTGCAGATTCCTCTGGTGCCATTTCTGGGCTAAGAGTCTGTCTCTGGTAAAAGGAGAATTTACATCCTGCCTTTAGGTAGGGAAGGGGAGGGTTGAGAGAGCTTTTCCTGCATTTGCGGCTTCTTAATTGCCTTCAGCTCAAAATAATTTTTATGTCAGAGAGGCATATTTTGGGTGACAGGCATATTTTAGTTTCCTTCCCATTCTGCTCCATTCTGCTCCCGATTTCCTTCCCATTCTGCTCCATTCTGCCCCCTGCCCCCAGCCTTATTTCCTGCAGACCTCCTGCAGCCATCAGAGTAGAACTTTACCTTTTATGGGGTTTAGCAGAAACCTTCAGGACAAAGACCTTCATAGGACCTCTACTTTTATTTATTTTTTAGTCTCTGGAAATTCTTCAGTTATGTATTTTAACAGATCTTTTAAATATTTTATCCAGTACGTTTGTTATGTCATTGGCAGGGTTATTTAGGGTCTCTGTATCCCAAGGAAGAAAAACTGATGGATCAGTTTAAAAACTATGTTTTATGTATTTGTGTTTATTTTCGCATTTATATTCTGTTGAATGGAACAATCCTAAACTCAGAATTCTTTAGACAACAATATACTGTGAATGCTATGAATCTTTCTGTGATTAAACTTATGTATTACGATCAACGTCTATCTCTTTAAACCAGATTTATTTGTAGATATGCATATAGGGATTAAATCAAGCACAGTTTAATTAGCAGTGGTACTGTTGCAGAATTGCAGGGTTCTTATCTCACAGAGTCCAAGAATGAATCTTGCGACACAAAAGGGTGAAGTCAAGTGAAAGTTTATTAAGTGGAGGTGAGAGCAGAAAGGAAAGAAAAAAACTCTCCAGAGTGAGAGGGGTCCTGAATGGGTTGTCACCATGGGCTTTTACTGGCAGTCTTCTATTGAGAACTGACTGGAAAGCTTGTGGCCTTGAGATTCTTCTGCAACCTTGGTTTGTTCCCTTATGTCTTGTTCTTCTCTGTCTCAGCATCTCCACGTGCCAGGAATAGTTCCGGAGCCTACTCAGGGGCCTCCTGTCTCTCCTGCCTGACCTTCACCCCTTCCCCTATTCACGGGCTGGGACCTGTGGGCAGAGAGAGCTATATTGGGATTGTGGGGAGTGACTGACTGTATACTTTTTAATTAATGGGGGTTAGGGATAGCGCCAATCTCCAAGGAATCTGGAAGCAAGGCTTTCAGGACCGTGAGGGCCCAGGTGCTGCTAAGATAAGGTTCCTTTTAAACTTGAAGGCACTAAGGCAGCCACGGGTTCCTTGAGGAAGGTCACGCTCTGCGTGTTTCAGGTGTCCATCAATGGGCTGCAAGCTGTAAGGAGATTTTAATTTAAGCTACATTTCTTTTGCCTTTGTTTTCCACATCAGTACCAGTTATGGATATATATAAAGTTTTCCGTAAACTGTATCATTCAGATTGGTGGCTTGACTTTCATTTGGTATATTAATTATTCCTGCTTTAATACTGAATGTTTTATACAGTTTTGGGGTTTTAAGGTCTTTGGTCTGTTTTTTTCTTTTTTGTTTGTTTTTGTTAGTTTTTTAATCAGCATTGACAAGTAAGGAGCATCTTTGGTAATCCTGGTGATTCCTTAATGTACTTTTTACTAATATTTAATAATTTCTGCCTGTTAGCCCCATGACACATTTCCTAAGAATGTGTATGTTTTGTTCTAGGAAAGAGACATCTTATACTTTATTTCTTCAAATTAAAGGAAAATAATATTAATCATGTTGGTTCTAGATTTTTATCCTAGCCAGGTCTGTATTTTAGTTTATGGTGAT